TATATATATATAGTTACATTTTAGGTCTACATGTTCCCCCAAAGCCTCAGGCAATTTTAGATGGGCCTTTCTCAGAGGTGGCAGAATCTAAAGTGTGTGATTGATTGGTGGTACAATGCTGGCATTAACAGTGCTGAGATTAAGGGTGGCTGATTATTGGATGAGCCCACTAATTGGATTGGCACTGCCCTAATCCCAGCAGCCTGGATTGAGTATAAAAGGGCAGAAAGGTACTTTAAGGTTCACTTGTTGATTTTGCTGTCTTCCACTGCCATGAACTGTTGCCTTTCTAGTATGTGCCACCCTGCCTTGGAGCCAGCCTACCATGGACTGAAACCTCTACAAACTGAGCTAAACAAACCTTTCCCCTTTTAACTTTGGGTGCTGGGTATTTTTGTCTCAGCAATGAGAAAAGTAACTTAGAATTTGGGACCAGGAGTGGGGTCATTCCTGTGACTACACCTCAGCATAATGTTCAAGAGTCTTTGGGAATGGCTTGTGAGAAGAGCCATTGGAATGTTTGGAGATGCTGGCTGAAAAAATAGAGCTAGAACAGCTTAGGCTGTTCTTTATGGGAGATTCTGGTTAGAGCTCAGAAGATCAGAAAGCTCTAAAAGACCCAGCTCAGGAGGTTTCTGTGGGAAAAAGGGCCACATTGGCTGTTGGTGTCCAAATGATGTATGTTATGGCTTGGCAGAAAGTTTGTCTACATTTTGGTCATGTCTAGAGATAGCCTGAGACTGAAATTAAAGGTGGTGGATGAACCTTGAAGAAATTTCAAGGCAGTTGAATGTTGAGGCAGTGGCATTGCTACTGTTGGGGGCTTTTAGCAAAATCTATGTTGAGGATCAAGAGCAAAGAGCCCAGCAGAATGACTTAAAATGTTGTGAGTTTGGCCAAAAGGAAGCTCCAGTAAAAACTGTGGACTGTAAATATAGAGCAGAGGAGATCTTGATTGCTGAGAGGGAACAGGAGAACAGAAATGATGGGCTGAAAAAAAATCTTGGGCTGAGAGTATCACAAGAACCAGCTGGAGTTCACCCTTTGCAGCCTCAGAATTGCAAAAGCAGAAGACTGCTTTGAGAAAAGAACCCCAGAGTGCCATGTTCCAGAATGGTGGTGGCATAGAGATTTGTTTCTCAGAATTGGATTCAGAGTGTTCAGTGATCCAGGCACTGAACCCCTACAAGCAAGAGAAAGGGGAGCCTGGCTATTGCTCCAGCTGGCAGCAGACCTTGGCTTCATTCATCCATGTGGTGCTGGTTTTAGACATATACAGAATATAAGAGT